TGGTGGGACTGGAAGTCGGGGCGGCGGGGTTTCCTGAGGGCTGGGGAGAGGCCTTTGTGCCATCCTTGTTGGGCGTGTGTGGCCGCTTCAGCGCCACTGCCGCAGCACCCCCCACAGCCACTACCACCAGCCACCCTCACCCTAGACCGTCTACTGCTATTATGAGCCTCTCCCTCTTATTCCTCCTCCTCCTCCTCCTCCTCCTCCTCCTCCTCCTCCTCCTCCTCCTCCTCCTCCTCCTCCTCCTCCTCTGTTCGCCCACTGCCTTCTACATCCTACAGCTCGACCAGCGGTGGACTCCAGGGGCTTCACCTCTGGCGCCGCCTGGCTCCCTGGTTTGACCCCCCCCCTCGGGGTGATCGCCCCGTGAGGGGGATGGCCGCGTCAGGATGACCCTCAGGCCGAGAGAGAGAGAGAGAACGACAGAGAGAAAGAGAGAGAGAGAGAAGAGAGGAGGAGCATGAGAAGAAGGAGGCGGACGTTGACGGAAAAGCAATTGGGCAGGATGGGGATGCTGTTGTTGATGATGATGCGGATGATGCTGATGATGCTGATGATGATGATGATCAGGAGGAGGTTGGTGATGGTGGTGATGATGATGAGGATGAGAACGATGATGAGTATGTTGATGAGGAAACTGATGATGCTGGTGCTGCTGATGATGTTGAGGATGATAATGTTGATGCTGATGATGCTGCTGATGATGATGCTGATGATGATGATGATGATGATGATGATGATGATGATGACGATAATGGTGATGATGATGGAGGTAATGATGATGATGATGATGCTGCTGCTGATGATGATGATGATGAAGATGATGATGACGATGATGCGGATGCGGATGCGGTCCCGAGTAGTTTTCTGACGGTCCCGAGGCAGAGCGGGGGCTCCCAGGGGCCGAACTCAGGCAAAAGCAGCCCGTTCAATTTTGTTGGGAGCGTCGGATTTCTGGGGAGGAGGACGAAGAGGAGGAGGAGGCGGAGGAGGAGGAGGAGGAGCAGGAGGAGAAGGAGGAGGAGAAGGAGGAGGAGGAGGAGGAGGAGGAGGAGGAGGGAGAGCAGCATTTTGGTGGGGGCGGCCCCTCGGAAACCGGGGGGGGGGGGGCCGCGAGGCCAGCAGCGGCGCCATCGAGGTGGCCTCCTCCTCTCTCTCCCTCTCCCTCGCTTTCGGCCCCCCTCAGATGGGGGGTCCCTCTCTCCTCGCCCCCGCCGTCCCTCCCCGCCCCCTCTTCTCTCTCTGCTCTCGCCCCTGCTCCCTGCTCCCTCTCCTGTTTCGTTGCTCTCTCTCTATCTCTGTCTTTCTCTCTCTCTCTCTTTCTCTTTCTCTCTCTCTCTCTCTTCTTGTCTCGTTGCTCCTGTCGCGTTGCTCTCTCTGTCTCTCTTGCTCGTTACTCTCTCCCTCTCTCCCTCTCTTGTCTCGTTGCTCTCTCCCTCTCTTGTCTCGTTGCTCTCTCTCTCTCTCTCTGTCTCTCTCTCTCCTTCGTTGCTCTCTCTCTCTCTCTCTCTATTTCTCTCTCTCTCTCTATTCCTCTTCCTCTCTCTATCTCTCTCTCCTCTCGATCGCTCCCACACGCTTTTTTTGTGCATGATGTGTTCATGTACGTGTAATAGCGCGCTGTGTATTTGGTTTATAGTCACTCGCATAAAGTTAGCACGGCGGCAATTCGGGGTGTGCTAACCCAGGCGCGCTTTTTGTAATTCGTCCCCGTGTCACTGGACAAGCTTGGTTTCAGCCAAAACGCCGTTAACGGGCCGCTCTTTGAAATTACAACCCGAGATTTCACGTATCAAACGCGCGGGCGATTCCCAGAACATGCGATAAGTTGCCGTTCCCGGGACGATGTTTGGCGCGATGTTGCAGCGGAGAGGGCGGGTCATACGATATTATACGCTTCGGGTGCCATCTGGCGTGGATGTTCCTCGCAACCGCGGCGCCAGCGCTCGAGACATCCTCGCAACTGCACCGCCGCCGCTCGAGACATCCTCGCAACCGCGGCGCCGCCGCAACGCCCAGGGAAAGAGGGGGAGGGGGAGGGAGTAGATAGCACACCCAGGGATCTGGCGTTTCCCTGGCTCTTCCCAGGGGGGGGGAACGCAGCGCAAGGAGTAGATAGCACACCCAGGGAAAGAGGGGGGGCCAGGAGAGCCCAGCAGGGCCAGGAGGACCCAGCAGTGCCCAGGAGGGCCCAGCAGTGCCCAGGAGGGCCCACGAGGCCCCAGGAAGTTCCAGCATGTCCCAGGAGGCCCCAGGAGGGGGGTGGGGTTCGTCGTCGTCGTCGTCGTCGTCGTCGTCGTAGTACTCGTCGTCGTCATCCTCGACCTTCCTCCTTCACCAGGAGAAGAGTCGAGAGGATAGGCAAGGAGGACGATGTGGGAGAGAAGATGAGAAGGAGGAGGAGAGGGCTTTTTAGAGCTGCGCTCATTCAAAGCAGTCTGTGCTAACTGCACTTGGTGGTCGTCAGCCCCGCCCACCCCCGAGCGAAAAGTTAGCACAGGCATCAAAAGGAGTAGTCAGCACCGGCTGGGCTGAACCCATTCTGCAACGCCTGAAAGGGCACTTTTTCAGGCCCGCATCGGCCCAACAAGAAGTTAGCACAGTTACCAGCTCGTGCTAACTTACCCCCTGGTTTGCCCGTGCTAGCTTTATATTGGTGACCAAATTTATGTGCGTTCCTTCTCCTCCCTCTCCCTCTCCTCTCTCTCTCTCTCTTTCTCTCCCTCTCGCTCCTCTCTCTCTCTCTCTCTCCCTCTCTCCTCTCTCTCTCCCTCTCTCTTCTTGTTTGCTGTTTGTTTGTCTCTCTCTCTCTCTCTCTCGCTTAAAAACTGTGTACACGTTCGCCATCGTCCTCTTCACGTCGGGCTTCGCCGTCGGCGCCGCCGCCGCTGGCCCTGTCGCCGTCCCCCCTTTGTTGCCGTCGCCGCCCTTCCCCCCCGGCGCCCCCGCCTGGCGGGGAAGGATCCTGCTCGACGCTCGCACGGGCGAGGTCCGCCTCTACCCGCAGGCCGCGGGCGGGGCCAGGAAGCAGGGCCGGCAGCTGGGAGGAGGAGAGGGAGGGCGCTTCCTCGGAGGACGAGGAGGAGGAGGAGGAGGAGGAGGAGGAGGAGGATGAGGAGGAGGAGGAGGACCAGCTCAGCCTCAAGACGCATCCACGAGATTGCAGTACACCCTCCAGGGGTTCCTCCGCACGGGCCCCTGCAGCAATTCATGCTCATCGCGGGAAATGCCCGATTGGAAGGCAAACGTCTGTCAGTCCTCAATCGTGCCACAACGCCAGTCTTGCGACTTCAACGCTGTGGAGCACCTTGACTGTTTCGTCCTGACTATGTTAAACCCTTTAAGAGCACCGTTCCTGGGATTTCAGCACCGCGAATATAACTTGACTGTTGCGTTCTGTCAATGCTAAACCGTGCCAGGACACACATCCTGGAGCTTCAATTATATGGTGCCCATGCTTGAAATTGCTGCAGGCTTTCGAAACGAATGCGCACGGCGCTACGGTGAGAGTCGCATTCTGAAAAAGGAATCGTCCGCCTCCCTTGACGCTGCTGCGAACTTGTACGACGGATGTGCGCGGCGCTAAGGCGAGAACCACGTTTTGAAAATTAGTCGTCCATCCTTAAAGTGGCTGCAATATGTTAAGACGATTATGCGTGGCTCTGAGCCGAGAGCTACGTGTTTAACCCCAGGCCCGCCCTACCGACATGTCTGGGGCTGGGGCTGCGGTTTCCTCCTCCTCCTCCTCCTCCTCCTCCTCCTTTATCTTTTTTGAGGACCGAAAGCGCCCCTACCCCCATCCAGTCTGGAGCTCGGGTGGGAAGGGGGGAGGGGGCCTGTCACGTCGCGATTTGTGCAAGGGCGCAGTGGCAAATCGTATGACAACGGGGTCCTGGCGGTGCAGTGGTGGAGCTGCTCGCACGTCCGCCCCTGCTCCTCCTGCTCCTCCTCCTCCTCCTCCTCCTCCTCCTCCTCCTCCTCCTCCTCCTCCTTCCTCCTCCTCCTCCTCCTCCTCCTCCTCCTGCTCCCCCTCCCTCTCGGACCTCGCCGCGGCGTGACGCAAGAGAAGGGGCCCCGAGGGAGGCGGGCCCCGAGGGGGTGTCTTTCGCCGTATTCTCGGCCTCTCGGGGCCCTCCGCACTCAGGCCCCCCCGAGGGCCGTCAGGAAAGGATGGAACCGGTTTCTCCCGCCCCCTCCTAGGGGAAAAAAAAATGCGTGGATTTCTCGGATCGGCGCTGGACCCCCCTCCCTGGCGCGCGGAGCGCGCCAGGGGCGGCGCCGGAGGCGCCGCCGGGGGGCCCCAGCGCCGATCCGAGAAATCCGCGCGGACCTCGAGTTTTTATGTTTATGTCACTTTTTGTTCCCCTACCTCCCCCCGCTCCTTCCTTGCAGTCTCTGCGCGGGAGCTGCAAACTGGGCTGGCCGGGCCGGGGGAGGATGTCCACACGGCGTCCTTGTCCGCGCTTCTCCTCTTTGCGTGCGGGTCCTCCTCCTCCTCCTCCTCCTCCTCCTCCTCCTGCGGCTGCCATCAGAGTGGGACGACCCTGTGGCGCGGCTTTCTCTTGTTGGAGTTGACGATGGCTTTGCCCACGGAGTGCTCGTGTCGACCTTGTGGTACTTCACGGTCTCCCCATGAGCCCTGCTCTTCCTCTACAGGAGTGCCTTGGAGAGAAGAAGCAAGCAGAGTGAGTCCGTGCTTCGGAGGGATGGGGCGGGAGTGGAGTGAGGGGACCGATCGGGGGGATGCAGAGACGGAGGTCACAGAGTCACTTCTCCCGTCCGCCTTCACATCCACGTCCTCCCCACAGTCGCTCCGATCCTCGTCATTCGCTCATCCCGCCCCGCAGTGCGTTTCTGACCGGCGCAGAGAGAGAGAGAGAGAGTGAGAGAGAGACAGAGAGAGCAAGACTTACGAGTAAGAAGCATGCTCGTGACAGTGCGCACGCCCTCCTCGCGGCGCTTGGCGCTTCTTCCTTGGAGGAGCTTACGTTTTGACGTTTAGTTTAGGCTCAAGCCGCCGATCTCGCTCTGGCTAATTACATCGGCTGAAGCCTGCAGTGGCCAGTGGCACCTCGAGCATGTTCGTGGCCCTGCAGCTGTTGGTTGCGCTTGCAGTTGGCAGTGGCGGTGTCGATCCTGGCGCATGCAGCACAGGAGGCCAAGAGTGTCAAGAGGGCGATGGGGTGGCCATGCTGGCAAGGACCCCGCAGTTAATGCAGCAGCGCCTCCAGGCATCCTTTGCATCAGAGGGCGCCGCAGACCTATCACAACGCAGTTTCGTCGAACAATCCAATCCGCATCCGTGGGGACCTCAATCCATCAATCCCTGGGGCCTTCAGGATGCCAAAATTGCGTCTACCCTTGCTGAAATGAAGGCGACCTTGGAGAGCCGAAGCCGCATGGCTGGGGGCGCTCTTGTGGTCGTTGGCAACCCAGGCGGTGATATGGACTCCGTCGCGGGTGCAATTGCGCTCGCCTCTTTTCTGCATGTTGCCAGCTTTTCAAAATTTCTTGCGCACAATGCTTCTCTGTCGGTACCCGACTCGAAGTGTGGAGGCAGTTTTGACGGCATCAGCAAGTCCGACTTCCAGTATGATGGAATTTTCCCCGTTATCAATTTCGAGCGAAAGAATTTCCACCTTCGGAAGGACGTACAGTTCGTGTTGTTGGAGATGCTGAACATCAGTGCAGACAGTCTGATATTCATCAGGTTGCGCTGGCGCGCATTTCCTCCACCGCTCTTGGGACATCACAGATGGGGCGCCAGGATGGAGCCCTCTGGTGCCTCTCTCTCTTAGGTCGCGGGCCGTCGTTCAAGCTAGTGCGGGAGCGCGCGCCGGCAGGCGCCCACTGGCCTCGAGAGCGGTGGTCACGGCGGGCTCCCCAGGGGAAGACGAGCACGCACACATTCCCAAGTCAACGGATGTTCGGGCCAATGGCCCGGGCAGGCGTGGGGCCTTACTACATCGGGCCCGTGGCAGGACCCTCTTGGGCAAACCCTGTGGCCTTCTCGGGGTTGCCTCGGGCATCCTTGGAGCTCTCGAGGGGGCCTTCTGGGGCCATCTTGGCGTCCCGCTGGGAGCCTTGGAGGCAATTTCGGAGAGTCTTGGGATCGGCTGGGGGTCTCGGGGCCGCCTGTGAGCGTCTACCTTGGAACAATGTTTGGGGCCTCCGAGAGGAGGCGCGGCCCGACATCTGCGACAACCTGCGCGGGCGCGTGGGCCCTGCGACAGCCAGACGGGGAGGACGAGGAGGAGGAGGAGGAGGAGGAGGAGGAGGAGGAGGAGGGAGGAGGAGGAGGAGGAGGAGGAGTAGGAGTAGGAGGAGGAGGAGGAGGAGGAGGAGGAGGAGGAGGAGGAGGAGGGGGAGGGTGAGTAGGAGGAGGAGGAGGAGGAGGAGGAGGAGGAGGAGGAGGAGGAGGAGGAGGAGGGGAGGGGAAGGGTGAGTAGGAGGAGGAGGAGGAGGAGGAGGAGGAGGAGGAGGAGGCGGCCCGACATCTGCGACAACCTACGCGGGCGCGTGGACCCCGAGACAGCCAGACGGGAGCGGATCTTGCATGAGGTGCTTTGCGGTTGTGGAGCGCTGTGTGCGTGCAGGCCCATGTTTTCGGGTGTGCACGCCAGTCGTTGAAAGTATGTTTTTCTGGATTCCCAGATCCCAATCTGCTTCAAGCGCCTTCCCACTTGAAGAATCGACCTGTTGTTGCTGACTGTTGCTATTCTTTGGGCGGGCCCAAACCCAATCTACTTTATCCGCCCTCCTGCTTCATGTTTCCACCTACTCATTTCGACGGGCGGGCAACCCACTTGCCGGAAAGCTGGCCCGGTTTCTCGAGTATTCTCGCTTCCCCAGCGCTTCACAGCAGAACTTGCCCCAGCTTTGTCTGAGAATCTTCCGGGGAGCTGGCCCAGATGTCCTTCACTGCAGCCGGCTTTCTCCTCCTCCTCCTCCTCCTCCTCCTCCTCCTCCTCCTCCTCCTCCTCCTCCTCCTCCTCCTCCTCCTCCTCCTCCCCCTCCTCCCCCCGACCCTCTTCGGGGCGCGCCGCTGGCCCCGGCGCGCCCCGCGAGGGCCACCTGGCGGCTCCGCCTCCGCGGGCGGGCGCCCGCATCTCCCGCGCGGCCCTGCCGCCCAGGCCCCCCGCCTCGGAGCCTAGCCTCGCCTGCGGCAAGCCGGGCGCCTCCCCGCCGGGCACGCCCTGCGCGCGCGCCTCGCGCAGAGCCCGCGGGGGGACGGGCCCGACCGATGAACGTCGCCCCTCCCTCGGGCTTCGCCCCTTTGTCGGGCCTCCCAGGAGGCCCTCTCGTCGCCACCGCCGGCCTCGCTTCGAGAGCCTCCCGGTCGAGGCGCGCACCCTGGGAGAGGCCCAGGGGCGAGCAGCGGCATCCTGCCTCTTTTTGGTTTCCCCAGCAAGGCGCGTGCCGCCACCGCGCCAGAGGGGGGGCACGCGCGTGGAACTTTTGGGGGGAGGCGCGCGGAGCACTTTGCGTCAAGCAGTGGTGAAGCGTCCTGGCTCGCCTATAGGCCCACCAAAGAATGTTCTAAGAGCCTTTCATGGTCTGCGCAAAATGTTCTTAGGACATTTCTGGCTGGGGCTGCTTTGTTTCAACACATCGGGCTTACGTTCTAAGAACATTGTTTTTGTTTTTGGAACATGTTTGAGTTCTAAGAACATGTCGTGGTAGGCCTATAGAACTGCCAGGACGGTCGGCCCCTGCTGAGTTACAGTGGAAACCCATGCCAAGAAACACCCTTCGTGCCTCCAGGGTGCCCTGGGTTTCTTGGGTTTCGATGGTTTTGCAATGGAAGGCGTGTGACGTTCCCACACCAAGAACTCACGGGACGTCCTGGGGTCTCAGGGTGGGGTCTCTCGTGGAAGGTCTCCTGTGGTCGAGCTCCTGCTGTGCTGCCTCTGCATCGGCACCGTCGTCTCTGCTTCCGCGCTCTGCGCGCACGCGGCTCGTGATGCGAGCGGCACGCGCGCCACGAGCTGCTGGGCCGGCACCGAAGCATGTGGGCGCTGGCGGGGGCAACGGGATGTGGCAGCTTGGGCTCGAGGCGCCAAGCTCGGTGCCCTCCTCTGCCCTTGGCGGCGTGCCGCCCTCCTGCCCCGCGCGCGTAGGAAGAGGCGCAGTCGGCTCTCGTCGCGCCCCGGGGGCGGTCCCCGTCCCGACGGCCCTCGTGGTCCGACGCTGCCGCGGCGAGAGAGAGCTTGCAGAGCCCCGCTGGGCGTGCGTGCGTGCGTGTGCGTGTGTGTGTGTGTGTGTGTGTGTGTGTGTGTGTGTGTGTGTGTGTGTGTGTGTGTGTGTGTGCGTGCGTGTGTGTGCGTGTGCGTGCGTGCGTGCGTGCGTGCGTGCGTGCGTGCGTGCGTGCGTGCGTGCGTGTGTGTGTGTGTGTGTGTGTGGGTGTGGGGCCGGACGTGTGCAGTCCGAATTTCGTTCAGAGCCCTGCGTGCTGGTGTGATGAACTCGGGGGCGGAAAGAGGACGTGCACGTGCACGAACACGAGCCCACGCTGGTTTCGAGAGCACGCCTTGCGCGAACGTTCGTATCGCGCGGCTGGTCTCGCGGACTGGGGGGTCGTGTGCGTGTGTAGAGCCCCACGTGTGTGGAGCCCTCACCTGGCCCACCTGCATCGGCGAGAACTCCAGGGTGGCGACGGTCCGAACGCCGCAGGCAGAGCCAGCTCCTTGCGCCGCAAGTGAGATCGTCTTCAGCGACGGAAGCTGGTTCCCAACCGCCATCCTTTGTGTTGGGTCCTCATTGTGAGTTTGCAGCGCCGCGCGTCTCACTCCTTCTCCTCCTGTCCTCCTCCTCCTCCCTCCTACACTTCCTCATCATCATCATCATCATCATCATCATCATCATCATCATCATCATCATCATCATCATCATCATCATCATCATCATCATCATCATCATCATCATCCTCTTCCCTCTTCCCCTCCTCCTCACGTCTCTTCGTATTCCCTCTCCTCCTCATGATCCTCCTCTTTTTCCTCTTCCTGTCCTGACCAAATTCTGCGCCCCCCTCAGGCGCTTCATTTTGGCACACCACTTGCACGTATCGTAGCCACCTAGGGAACTCCTTCGAAGGCTGCGCCCGCATGGTTACTCGCGTCAATGTGTGCACACCCCTCACACGCTGCGTGGCCCCATTGGGAGCTCCACCGAAGGCCTCGGTGGCTGCGTCCGCATGGTGACTCGGGTCCATTTCGGCACACCCCTCACGCGTTTCGGTGGCCCATAGGGAGCTCCACTCAAGGCCCCAGTGGCTGCGTCCGCATGGTGACTCGGGCCCATGTCGGCACACGCCTCGCACGTTTCGTGGCCCCATAGAGAGCTCCACCCAAGGCCCCGGTGGCTGCGTCCGCACGGTGACTCGGGTCCATTTCGACATACGCCTCTTTCGCTTCGTGGCCCCATAGGGAGCTCCACCCAAGGCCCCAGAGGCTGCGTCCGGATAGAGACTCGGGCCCACTTCTGCACACTTCTCACACGCTTCGTGGCCCCATATACAAGGGTTGCGTCCTTCGTCAGGCATTTTCGTTTGTGCCTCTAGGACTTTTCGCGAAGCCATCTTGGTGCCTAGCGTGGCCGCACCTCACGGTGCTAATTTGGAACACTTGTGGGGCCCTCTCGGACGATATCTGGCGCGCCGAGACGCTCCCGGACCCGTCTGCACGCCCTTTTACCGCAAAGAATGGCATTGAGAGCCTCAGCCGGATCGGAGCGCCTGGAGCTCGACCCGAACATGGCGGGTGGGGGATCCCACTAGGATGATGTGGGAAGGAGGGTTGGCCGGTGTTCGTGGAGGGAGGGGTCGGCGGGAGGTGAAGGAGCGTGCGCCCTTCGTGGCAACTTCTGGGCCCGCAGTGGCAGCCCAGGGGCCGTTGAGGTCACCTTTGAGGCCGCTCTCCTGCAATCCTCGAGCCCGAGGGTGGCCCCACAGGACACTGAAGAGCCCCCAGCGGAGCCCCGCTTGGTATTTCGCACGCCCGCTCTGCGCTGCAGGTGCGGCGGCGGATCGACGAAATCCATGTTGATGATGATACACGCTTCTTCCTTGTCGACCATAACGCGATCAATGTCGCCGGTCTCCAAGACAAAGCGGACCAGGACCTGGCCTCGCATGTCGATTTCGTAGTGGATCACCACGCTGACCAGACAGGTGGACATCCGCAGGGCAACATCGACTGCTACATTGACCTCGTTGGCAGCTGCTCCTCGCTGATCGGGACACTGATCAAGCAGAGTACGCAGACGGAGAGTGGCGCGAACTTCCTCAGCGAGAACCCCGAGTGGTCAACGCTGCTGCTCGCCGTTCAGCACCAGGACTGGGACCCCTCCAAGACGAAGCCGTACGACAAGGACGTCCGGCCGCCTGCGGCATGCCTCGCCGCCGCCCCAGCGCAGCATCGCACCTGGTGACGACGACGACGACGACGACGAAGACGACGACGACGACGACGACGACGACGACGACGACGACGACGACGACGACGACGACGGCAACGACGACGATGGCAACGATGACGATTGGCGATGACGTCGTCCTTGTCATGAGCCTCTGGCCCGCTCCCGGCTCGGTGCGCACCCTGCGCGGGTCGCGGCCGCACCCTCCGCGGGCCCCGCGGCCTCGCTGCCCAGGCTCACCGTGGGGGTCGCCAGAATGATGGGCCCGTCTTCCGCCACCACCACCATAAGTTGGAGGGTGAGGGGCTCCTCCTCCTCCTCCTCTTCGTCGTCCTCCTCCTCCTCCTCCTCCTCCTCCTCTTCGTCCTCCTCCTCCTCCTCCTCCTCCTCCTCCTTCTCCTCCTCCTCCTCCCCCTCCTCCTCCTCCCCCTCCCCCTCCAACTTATGGTGGTGGTAGTGGTAGGGGAAAGCAGGCCCATCATAGAAGGGACGGGCGGGGGCTTTCCGTGGATGCCGAGGCCTGGCCCCGCACGCGAGCGGGCCGCAGGTGCCTTACGTGGCTTGATGTGGTCGCATACGACTCCGCTGAGCGGGTGGAGCCCACTCAGCCAGGATCTGTGCTGTGCCCCTCGCTTTCATAACCACTGACGTAGGGCACCCATAGCCCACCTACAGTCGAGTATCGGATGAAGAAGCTCCCTCCAGGCAAGCTGGGCCAGCGTCTCTTAACCAACTTGCCAGAGAGCTGGCCCAGTTTCGTGAGCACGTTGGTTTCCCAGCGTCAAGGGTAGAGCTTGACCAAGGCTTCTTCCAAGAAGTTTTCCGGAAAGCTGGGCCAGCGTTTTTCCGCCGATTTGCCGGAAAGTTGGCCTAGTGTCTTGGGCACGTCGGTTTCCCAGCGTCAAGGACAGAGACTGGCCTAGGTTTCTGCCAAGAAGCCTCCCAGAAAGCTGGCCCAGATTTCTCAGAACACAAGCTCTCTGTTCCGATTTTCGGCCGTGTATGCCAGGTCCGGCCAGGTACAACCACCGTGGTTTCCTTTGCGAGACCCTCCAGCCCCTCATCACCGAGCACATTCCACTACTCGCAAAGTGCCTACTCGCAAGCGTCCGAAAAAAAGACCATGTGTTTGTTTCGAAAACATTTGCCGCAGATCCCCCGCGGCGGGTCCAGGCCATGTGCGAGTAGCTATTTTTTTTGCGAGTCGTGGAACGCGCTCGTGCACCTCAGCAGCCCCCCGCGGTGGCCGGCGTGCCCAGCCGTGCGACGCCCTGATTTTCGTCCAGGACGGCGCCCCGGGAAGTCCGGGAGCCCCTTCCCCTCGCCTCCCGCCCTGCTCCTGGGCCGCGGGCCGCGGCCGCGGAGCCGTCGCCGCGACGTAGTGGGCGACGACGGAAGGGCAGGAGTCCTCACCTTCCTCTCGAGCCTCGTCCCTGTGCCCCAATTCTGCTATCCCTCCTTCTCTCCTTCACGTGCCCTGTGCCTCTATCCTCTATCCTCTATCCTCTCTTCCCGTGCCCTCGCCTCGCCTCTCCTCCGCGCCGTCGCCTGCCGTCCCTGCTCCTGGGCCTGCCGGGGAGGCCTCTTCCCCCGGGCCGCGGCCGCGAGAGCAGGCCCGCGAAGCGGGAGCGCCGCTCCGCTGCCCGCCCGAGGGGGGGGGGGGGGTGGGCCGCGGGCCCGCCCCTCTGGCAGCGCGGTGCTTCTGCGGGCCTCGAGGGGCCTGTCTTCCACCACCACCACCGCCACCACAAGCTGGAGGGGGGAAGTGGGAGGAGGGCGAGGAGGAGGAGGACGAAGAGGATGATGATGATGATGATGATGATGATGATGATGATGATGATGATGATGATGAGGAGGAGGAGGAGGAGGAGGAGGAGGAGGAGGAGGAGGAGGAGGAGGCGGAGGAGGCGGAGGAGGCGGAGGCGGAGGAGGACCCCCCCACCCTCCAACCCACGGTGGTGGTGGTGGTGGTGGCGGAGAACACGCCCATCTGGCCTCTCCCAGCGAGGCTGCGCCATTTTCGAGATGCGGGTCAAGGCAAACCAGTGTGATAACAACAAATAGGTGTGATGCAACATGGAGTGTGATCAAAAGCAAGGGCGACTCTCACACTTGCTTTTTGTATCACACCTGTTAGGTGTGATGCAACATGGAGTGTGATCAAAAGCAAGGGCGACTCTCACACTTGCTTTTTGTATCACACCTGTTTTTGTATTCCACTTTTTCATCACACGTGCTCGGGGGCCAGCCAGAGCGCCGGATCTTGCTGGATCCTGCAGGGCCAAGGGCGCACTGATCCGGGTTTGGGCGCAGGATCCTGCAGGATTCTGCCAGGCCGACTGACCCAGGTCTGCATTGACCCAGGTCAGTGCGTCCCTGACATCTTGGGGGCGCCCGGCCGGGTCTTGGGGCCGTCCTGGATCCCACTCGGAGCGGCCGTCTTCGGGGTCGCCCTGGCAGTTTCTGACGGGGCCCGGGGCCCTCTTGGGCTTCCAGAGGCGGTCTGGAGCCGAAAAGCCTTCGCGAGACATCTAACACGCTGAGTGTCCTTTTGTTTTCGCGGTTTTGGCCTCTTCCGGGCCTCGCGGGGGGGGCTTCCGTGGGCGTCTGTGTGGGAGACTCTCAGAGATCTTGGAGCCCTCGGCGGGGTCATGGGGCCGTCCCAGGGCGATGGGCCACTGGGCATCCTGCAGCCGTTTTGGGGGCACTCTCCGACGCCGCCCTGGAGACGTCCAGGGGCCGAAAACGGTGTCGTGGAGCGGTAGCTCGGACCCCTGAGGTTTGGTCTGTTTTCGGCATCTGGGGGGACCCTTGCTGGGGCCGTCAAGAACCGAGAGAGGAGGAAAAGTTGGTCCTGGGGAGTGGGTCGAGATTTCCAGGGTCCACGGTGCGAGAAAGCACTTCGTCGAGAGTCTGGGATAGGAGGGGTGATGAACGAGTGAGGGGTGCCGGCCTTAGACTTTTCACAGAAGTTCCACCCGACAGCTGGCGAGCAGTCGAACACTCCACGGTCGTGCAAGCACGGCGGCGGATCATGATTCTGCTGTCGCAGTGGTCAATGTGGGCCAACCAGCTGCTGGACTTAAAGCGCAGCGTTGAGGGTTTTTCCGTGGAGGATTTCTTTTTGAAGGATGCAAAGGGTGGCGCAGATGGTGGCATATCTTTCACGATGCCTGAATTGCCGATTGACAACATGAGCTCGTTCATGACAGGTTCGGACTCTGGCCTGTCCTGGACAACGCAGGATTTCGAGCACCAGGTGGAGGTTTTCATGCAGAAGTTCAACTACGATGCCGTGTTCCTCCTCAAGTGTCCTGATCAATCACCTCCACCTGGGGAACTCGCTGTGCTCACAACGAACGCGGCACTGGTGGAGTACATGAGTGATATCCAGCACATGCAGCCCGAACAGGGACAATGGTATGATGGGCAGAACCCACACCTCAAACAAGCGGAGTCGCCATTTGTGGGCCTCAAGAACCTTTTCCAAGGCTATTGGACATTTGAGGACGGCACCCGAAAGCAGATGCTCCCCATGGTGAAGGATATGCTGAACGCTTTCGCCGATTCGGAAGGGTCCCAATGATAGTCAAGATCGAGCTGTTTTGGACGCGCTTTGAAGCGTGCCGCTCAAGCTGGTTTGGGCACGTCGTTCCAGATTCATTGATGCGGCTGTTCGGGCGTCCAGGGGTGACATATAGTGTCTTCATCCGCTCGGGCCAGCCATGGTTCCGCGCACGGACGCGTATTCAGGACCATCGGACACTCGAGTCCCAGCCGGGCAGAGGAGCCGTTCCTCAAGCATGGCTACCTGTGCCCGCACGCATTTTTAGTAGCTGACGCGACTCGGCGGCGCCCCCCTTGGGGGGCGGCAGAGGGGGTGGGGCTTCGCGGAAGGCTTAGAAGGCCCCTGGCCAATTTATCAGCTTTCCGCGCCTTCTCCGAAGCTGCAGAAGGCTTCCCAGACAGCCGAGGGGGCTTCTGACGAGCCCCGCCGCCATAAGGAGAAGGCCTGCCCCCCCTCTCGCCGGCCCCCCCCCGGCCCGCCGCCGAACCACGGGCACGCTGGCCGAGCAGGCGGTCTGCTCCTCCTGCGCGGCAATCCTGGGGATCGCGCCTCGGAGTCTGGACCGCGAGGCCATGCACCCTGCCGTGTTCGGACGGGCCCAGGTTCGAGACAGATCCGTCCGAGGGAGCGTTCCGGAACGCTCTGGAGCGGCCGCGGCGCCCGATGCGTCCACCCAAACAGCCGATCTCGGCTGCCCTGATACGCCCTGATTGAAACGCAACGCGTGCCGTGTTCAAAGTGTCCGTGTGAACACGCTGTGTTTTGCTTCGGCACGTGTTGGTCCACGACTTGGCGAGCGCTTCGTGCCAACACGCAACGTGTTGCGTGTTGCACATCGGGGCAGCCAAGTCGCCGATTCTCAGAGATTTCCGATTTCTATCGGTCCGCCGATTCTCGGACGAGGCGAGGACGAGGATAACTCCGTTCCAGAGCGTTCTAGAAGGCTCTCAGAGCGTTCCGGAACGCTCGGACAATGCCGCTGCGCCTAATAATCCTCCAGGTCCAGAGCCGCCGGATCTCAGAGATTCTCGATTTATCTTCACCCGATTTATCCTCGCCTTGGCTTCACCTTAGATTTTCAGAGATGTCCGATTTCTTTTCGGTCCGATGTTGTCTCGATTCTGCCTTCGTCTTGCGTGTTCGCGTCGCCTGGTGAGACCCACCCTGTCGGCCTCCCGCCGGCGGAGTTTTGCCTCGCTCGGTGGCGAGCGAGGTGGGGGAAGTGAGAAGGAGAAGGCCTTCTCCCCAGACATCGGGCGTATCGAAAATTATAGCCGGAGTGCAGTATCCCCAAACAGGGTTTTTAGATCCGTTGCGGTTTCCAAGGTCGATTGCGTGCCCGTCCAGTGCGGGCTGGCATGGCATACTAAACATGCCTCCGCCTCCTCCTCCTCCTCCTCCTCCTCCTCCACCTCCTCTTCATCCCGAACGGCATCTCGGAGCCCAGAGTTGCGAGGATGTCTCTAGCGTAACGGGCTGGACCACCTCGCGCGCGGCATTTCGGACCCCAGAGTTGCGACGATGTCTGGGGCGAAACGTGCTGCGAGGAAGTCTCAGGCGAAACGGGCCAGACCACCTCGAGCGCGGCGTCTCAGAGCTCCGAGTTGTGGGGGCCTCCTTGGGCCTCCTGGGACCTCCTGGTGACCTCCTGTGGCTTCCTCAAGGGCCTCCTGTGGCCTCCTGGACCCCACCTGGGGCTTCCTGAAGCCTCTTGGGGCTCCCAGGGGGGGATATCTAGCATGTGGCCGTCGGGGCCCCCCCAAATGGGGGGGGGCCACAAGAGCAGGAAAAATAAACGAATCGGCACCGAATGTGTATTAACTTGACACGTTATGATAGGGGGCCTCCTGGGGGCCTCCTGGGAATCTCCTGCGGACCCCTGGGGCCTGTCCTGGGCGTCCTGCGGCCTCCTCAAGCTCTCTGGGGCCTCCTGGGGTTCCCAGGGTCCCAGGGGGGATATGTAACATGTGGTCTTCTGGGCCCCCAGGCTGGACCACCTCTTGCGCAGCATCTGGGAGCTCAGAGTTGCGAGAATGTCTTGTGCGAAACGGGCCAGACCACCTTGCGCACGGCATCTCAGAGCTCAGAGTTGCGAGGATGTCTCAGGCGAGACGGGCCGGACCACCTCGCGCAGGGCATCTCGGAGCCCAGAGTTTCGAGGATGTCTCCAGCGTAACGGGCTGGACCACCTCGCGCGCGGCATTTCGGACCCCAGAGTTGCGACGATGTCTGGGGCGAAACGTGCTGCGAGGAAGTCTCAGGCGAAACGGGCCGGACCACCTCGAGCGCGGCGTCTCAGAGCTCCGAGTTGCGTGGGCCTCCTGGGGCCTCCTGGGACCTCCTGGTGACCTCCTGTGGCGTCCTCCAGGGCCTCCTGTGGCCTCCTGGGCCCCGCCTGGGGCTTCCTGAAGCCTCTTGGGCCTCCCAGGGGGGGATATCTAGCATGTGGCCGTCGGGCCCACCCAAAATGGGGGGGCCGCAAGAGCAGGGAAAATCAACGAATCGACACCGGATGTGTATTTACTTGACACGTTCTGATAGGGGGCCTCCTGGGGCCCCCCTGGAGCCTCCCGGGAATCTCCTGGGCACCCCTGGGGCCTGTCCTGGGCGTCCTGCGGCTTCCTGGAGCTCTCTGGGGCCTCCTGGGGCTCCCAGGGTCCCAGGGGGGATATGTAACATGTGATCGCCCCCAGGCTGGACCACCTCTTGCGCGGCATCTGGGAGCTCAGAGTTGCGAGAATGTCTTGTGCGAAACGGGCCAGACCACCTTGCGCACGGCATCTCAGAGCTCAGAGTTGCGAGGATGTCTCAGGCGAAACGGGCCGGTGTCTCGGGCGAAACGTGCTGCGAGGAAGTCTCAGGCGAAACGGGCCGGACCACCTCGAGCGCGGCGTCTCAGAGCTCCGAGTTGCGGGGGCCTCCTGGTGCCTCCTGGGGCCTACTGGTGATCTCCTGGGGCTTCCTCCTGGGCCTCCTGTGGCCTCCTGAACTCCACCTGGGATTTCCTGAAGCCTCTTGGGTCTCCCAGGGGGGAATCTCTAACCTGTGGCCGCCTGGGCTCCTCAAATTGGAGGGGGGGCCACAAGAGCAGGGAAACTCAACGAATCGACACCGGATGTGTATTAACTTGACACGTTATGATAGGGGGCCTCCTGGGGCCCCCCTGGAGCCTCCTGGGAATCTCCTGGGCACCCCTGGGGCCTGTCTTGGGCGTCCTGCGGCTTCCTGGAGCTCTCTGGGGCCTCCTGGGGCTCCCAGGGTCCCAGGGGGGATATGTAACATGTGGTCTTCTGGGCCCCCAGGCTGGACCACCTCTTGCGCGGCATCTGGGAGCTCAGAGTTGCGAGAATGTCTTGTGCGAAACGGGCCGGAACACCTTGAGCACGGCATCTCAGAGCTCAGAGTTGCGAGGATGTCTCAGGCGAGACGGGCTGGACCACCTCGCGCAGGGCATCTCAGAGCTCAGAAGTTCGAGGATGTCTCAGGCGGGCTCCCAGGGTCCCAGGATGGATATGTAACATGTGGTCTTCTGGGCCCCCAGGCTGGACCACCTCTTGCGCAGCATCTGGGAGCTCAGAGTTGCGAGAATGTCTTGTGCGAAACGGGCCAGACCACCTTGCGCACGGCATCTCAGAGCTCAGAGTTGCGAGGATGTCTCAGGCGAGACGGGCTGGACCACCTCGCGCAGGGCATCTCAGAGCTCAGAAGTTCGAGGATGTCTCAGGCGGGCTCCCAGGGTCCCAGGATGGATATGTAACATGTGGTCTTCTGGGCCCCCAGGTTGCACCACCTCTTGCGCGGCATCTTGGAGCTCAGAGTTGCGAGAATGTCTTGTGCGAAACAGGCCGGACCACCTTGCGCACGGCATCTCAGAGCTCACAGATGCGAGGATGTCTCAGGCGAGACGGGCCGGACCACCTCGCGCAGGGCATCTCAGAGCTCAGAAGTTCGAGGATGTCTCAGGCGAAACGTGCCAGACCACCTCTCGCGCGGCATCTGCGAGGTCAGAGTTTCGAGGATGTTTCAGGCGAAACGGGCCAGACCACCTCGCGCAAGGCATCTCAGAGCTCAGTTTCGAGGATGTCTCAGGCGAAACGGCCCGGACCACCTCTCGCACGGCACCTCGGGGCTCAGAGCTTCGATGTCTCAAGCGAAACGGCCCGGACCACCTCTCGCGCGGCGTCCCGGAGCGCAACCTTTCGAGGAAGTCTCGGGCGAAACGACCAATCCCGGCCAGCTCAGAAACGAGAGTTGTGAGGATGTCTCAAGCGAAACGGCCCGGACCATCAAATTGTTGTGAGGATGTCTCTGCTCCGACTTCCCTCGGCCGGAGTTAGCTTCTATCACAACAGCACCCCGTTCAGCAAGCTGTTTGGGGAAAAATGTACGGAGGTTTTTTTGTTGTTTTCGGCCTCTCGGGGCCCTCGCTGGGCCTCGGGACCGTCAAATTACTCCGACCGTAGGACCCCACATGAAAACCTGTTTAGCTTACCCTTTGCCCTTTCCTCCTCCCCCTGGCGGACATCCTCTCCTCTCGCCCTCTGCACTGCCCTCTCTTCCTCCTTCTATTTCTCTTCCTCCTCCTCCTCCTTCTCCTCCTCCTCCTCCTCCTCCTCCTCCTCCTCCTTCTCCTCCTCCTCCTCCTCCTCTCGCGCCACCTCCTCCTCGTCGTCGCCCTCCCCCATGCCCCTTCCCTCCTCATCCTCCTGCCTCTTCTCCATGTGCACCTCCCGTTCCCCCTGGTCGTGGCAAGCAACTCGATTTTCCTCGGCGCCGTCGCCGCGTCGGCCAGCACGCGCGCGTTTGCCGACGGCTAGATCGCGAAGCCGTCGGGGCAACCCTTCGGGCCAGGCCGTTGGGGCAACCTCGCAAGCCGCAGGGGCGCTGGGGCCAGCCGTTGGGACAACCCCGCGGGCCTCCTGGTGCGCGCCGCGGCGCTCAGGCGGGTGGCAGCACGAAACCCAGCTCTGCAGCGAGCTGCTCCGCCTCAGCCCTGGAGTCCACCGCTCTCTTGTCGAATTCCTGGAGCGCCTTCCGCAGTGACGCCGGCGGCCCGCGCTCCAGGAACTCTCGCGCGGGCGGCCGCAGGATCAGCATGTTCCGCATGCACGTGGCGCGGGAGAACATGACGTAGAGGTGCAGCCACCACATCTCGTCCGACATGCCCGTGCGGCCAGCGTCCTCATCCCTGGCGCAGTCGATGGTGACGCCCCTGCGCAGCGTCTGGCCCTGCGACTCGGCCGAGGATGGGTTACCACCCCCGGCCCGGACGCAACGGTTTCCCCCTGCGCCCGATTCGGCTGACGATGGGTTACCACCGCCAGCCCGGAGACAAGGGGTTACCCCTGCCCCCGAGTCGGCCGAGGCGAGGATAGGTTACCACCCCCGGCCCGGACGCAGGGGTTCCCCCCAGCGCCCGATTCAGCTGACGATGGGTTACCACCGCCAGCCCAGAGACAAGGGGTTACCCCTGCCCCCGATTCGGCCGAGTACCACCCCCGGCCCGGATGCAAGGGGCTACCCCTGAGCCCGATTCGGCCGCCGATGGGTTACCACCGGCGGCCCGGAGACAAGGGGTTACCCCTGCCCCCGATTCGGCCGAGGATGGGTTACCACCCCCGGCCCGGACGCAAGGGTTTCCCCTTGCGCCCGGCCGCCGCTTCGGCCGAGGATGGGTTACCACCCCCGGCCCAGACGCAAGGGTTTCCCCTTGCGCCCGGCCGCCGTCGTCCTCCTCAATTCTTGTTCCTCGTCGTCCTCCTCCTCCTCCTCCTCCTCCTCCTCCTCCTCCTCCTCCTCCTCCTGCGCCTCAGCTCCAGCTCGCATGCTTCGAGCTGGCTCAGCGCGGGGACTCCCGCGCGGGGACAGACCGGCGGGCCCCCGCCTGTGACTTCCTCGCGAGTCACTCACAGACGAGGCTCCCGCCTGATACATCCTCCTTATTCAAGCCCTCCGGAGGCCAGACGTTTCGGATGACCCGCCTCGGATTAAAAACATGAGGTGCGGGCCCCATAGGGAGAGGCATCCCGCCTGAGACTTCGTCGCGATTCACTCACAGACGAGGCTCCCGCTTGATATTTCCTTCCGATTCACGCCGCACGGGCCCAAAATTGACGACAGTTACACGTTTCGGATGACCCGCCTCGGATTAAAACATGACGTGCGGGCCCCATAAGGGGAGGTTTCCCGCCTGAGGCTTCGTCGCAATCCACTCACCGACGAGGCTCCCGCTTGATACTTTCTTCAGATTCTCGCCACAGGGGCCCAACATTGACGACAGTTACACGTTTCGAATGACCCGCTTCGGATTAAAAACATGAGGCGCGGGCCCCATAGGGAGGGGTTCCCGCCTGAGACTTCGTCACAATTCACTCACAAACGAGGCTCCCGCCTGATACTACCTCCATATTCAAGCCAGGGAGTGAGTGATGACGAAATGATGAGTGAGTGAATGATGATGATGAGTGTGTGATGAATGAGTGATGATGATGCTGATGATGACCATGATGGCCACTGAATGGGTGGTCGAGAGATTATGATGGAGATGGTGACGATGATGTTGAGAGTGGCGGCGGTCCTACCGTCGGAGGACCACTGCCTCCGAAGCCCACAAAGGATGAGTGAGTAATTGAGTGAGTGAGTGGGTCATCGAGTGGTGATGATGGTGACGATGATGATGATGAGGAGGAGGAGGATTATGATGATGAGTAGTGATGAAAGATTATGGTGATGAGTCGTGATGACGGTGATGGTGGTTGATGGTGATGATGATGGTAATGATGATGAGTGTGTGCGTGTGATGACGATGATGGTGGTTGATGGTGATGATGATGGTGATGATGGTGAGTGTGTGTGAGAGAGAGAGAGAGAGAGAGAGGAAAGGGGGGAGTGAGATCCTGCGCGGCGTGTGCAGAGAAAACAAGAACCCCTCTTTGGATGTGGGCAAAAACAACTCGAGATGAAACACCCGTCCCGGGGAAGTGGTCGGGAGGTTGGAGGCCCGTGTCTCGAAAAAATCGGGACGTCGGATGTCTGAGTCTGAATGAAGCAGTGACGAGGCGCCCTGGCTTTCCTTTAGGCCTACCAGAGAATGTTCTAAGATCCTTTCGTGGTGTACGCGACATGCTCTTAGAACAGTTTTGGCCGTGACCGTCTTATTTTAACGCATCGGCTTGATGTTTTAAGAACTTTGTTTTGCTATTGGACGACTCGCGTGTTCTAACACAATTTCGTGGTAAGCCTATAGGAACGCCAGGACGGTCGGTCCCACGTCAACAGAAGACGGCGGGACTTCTCAGAAACCCTCGGGCTTTCTGAGAGGTTTCTGCGTCTGCGGGAAAGGCTCAGAAAACGTCTCAGAAGCCCCGGTGGACTTCTGAGCCTTCTGAGAAGGCCCGCCCCTCACTGGGGAGGGATCAAGAACACACAGACTCAACGAATCGCTGATTCCCAGGAAACTGCGGGAAGATATGGGAAGCGGGGGGAAGACAAACATCAAGAACATGGGAGAAGATGGGGGGACTCCTGGGATTTGTTGCGGGTATTTGTGTGTGTGCCCCTGGGTCCCTCCACCCACTTCCACACCAGAAGACAGGGGAAAGGGGGAGGGGAAGACGAAGATCGAGAGCACGCGAGAAGATAGGGGGAAAATCCTGGGATCTGCCGTGGTTCTGTATACATGTGTGTGCCTGGGCCCCTCCCCTCCCCTCTCCCCGGGGCTCGCCGCCGACCTCGTGGCCCCTGCCACCCGCGCTGCGCCCGGAGAGAGAGAGAGAGAGAGAGAGAGGAAGAGGGGCGCGGCCTCCCCCTCTCGTCGTCGGAGGCGTGGCCCAGCCCTCGCCTCGAAGTCGGCGGCGAGCGGAGGAGGAGGAGGGGGAGGAGGAGGAGGAGGGGGAGGAGGAGGAGGAGGGAGGAGGAGAGGAGGAGGAGGAGGAGGAGGAGGAGGAGGAGGAGGAGGAGGAGAGAGGAGGAGGAGGAGGAGGAGGAGGAGGAGGAGGACGAGGACGAGGACGAGGAGGAGGAGGAGGAGGAGGAGGAGGAGGAGGAGGAGGAGAGGGGTGGAAGGGCGGGCCCTCTCCTTCGCATCTCCTCGCCCCCCCCCTCCCTTCCCTCGCTCGCCGCCACCGAAGGGCCCGGCGGGCCTCGGCTGCCGTTTCATTTTTTTGCTGCCGCGGCGCGGGCGGACGGCTGCCCCCTCGGCAGCACGCCGCCGGGAGGCGCCTCCGGAAGTCGGGCGCCTCGAGAGAAAAAAAAGTCGGGGCGGCGGTGCTTCTCGTCGGTGTGGGCCTCGCGGGGCCCGCGCCGGGGCCTCGGGGCCGCGAGAGAACAGCTCGGGGCGAAGCACTGGTCTCGGGGAAGTGGTCGGGAGGGAAAGAAACACACAGGCACAATTCATCGGCGATCCCCCAGGAAATATGGAAAATTATGGGACGTGTGGGGGAAGACAAAAACAAAAAACCCAGAAAGTATGGGAAAACATAGGGAGTCCCTTTATCTGTGTGAATCTATTTGTGTGCCTCAGGGCCCCTTCAGTGGTCGGGAGGTCGGGGGCCGGTGTCTCGAGAAAACAGCGGGGCGTCGGAGGTCCGTGTTCCGCGGAGCCGCCGCCCGGAGAGGATATGCCGCTCGTCGTCGCGTGCAAAAGGAACAGGCTGCTGGCCAGCGAGGGCCCGGAGGGCACCGCGGCCTCGAGGTGCGGTCCGTGTGGTGCAAGCTGTGCGATGCGCTCCGTGTGTGGTGCGATGTGGCCTTGACGTGAGGCCTCTCCTTCTGTCCCCCCCTCTTTGTTAATTCAAGCTTCGCGCGGCCCGCTTAGCTTCGACCGGAAGAGGTGCGCTCTCGACCCGCGAATCAAAAAAGTGTGGTGCGATGTGTGGTGCAATGTGTGTGTGTGTTGCCAGCTGTGTGGTGAAAGCTACGTAGTGGAGGCTACGTGATGCAAGCCATGAGGTGCATTCCAATCTGGTGCAAGCTATGCAGTGCGAGTTGTGTGGTGCAAGCTATGTGGTGGTAGCTGTGTGTGGTAGGCTATGAGCTGCGTCGGAAGCAACGTGATGCTATGCGGTGCAAGCTCTATGGTGGGATATATTACATATTGCAAGCTGCTTGATCGAAGACGACTACGGCGAATCACCGCCGCCCCCTGCCGTTTTGGAAGCGCCTATGTGGCCGAACGTTGAGGCCAGACCTGCCAAGCTATTGGACCATCTGTTCCCCGAATAAGTTTAGAACGCCTTCGGGGAACACGTGGGCATCTTGAAGGTCACCTTGGCCGTCTGGAGGCCATTTTGACCCTTTCGGGCCTTCTTGGAGGACGTCTTGGAGGGCTCTTGGGCCGTCTTGGAGGCCATCTTGAGCGTCTTGGAGGCCTCTTGGGCCGTCTTGGGGGCCTCTCGGGGCCGTCTTGGGCCTCTTGGGCGATCCTTGGGGGCACTTGGGCCGTCTCGGGCCGTCGGAAGGCCGAAAAAAAAGCAAATGCCACAACCCTTCAACAACTCATGGGAAATCAATGATTTGGGCATTTTCTGGCCTTCCTGGAGGCCCTCTTGGAGGCCTCTTGGGCCGTTTTGGGCCATCTTAGGGCCATCTTCGGCCGTTTTGGTGGGCTCCTGGCCCGTCCGACGCCGTCGGAAGCCGTTTGGGGGGCCTCTCTGGGCCGACCTGGGGCCCTCTTGGAATGCTCCAGTGCCGTTTTGGAGGCCATCTCGGGCGTCTTAAAAGCCTCCTGGGCCGTATTGGGGGCCTCTTGGGGCCGTCTTGGGGGCCTCTTGGGCCGTCATGGTGCCATCATGGAATCATGGAGGCCTCTTGGGCGATCTTTGGGCGATCTTTGGGGGCTCTCGGGCCGTCGGAAGGCCGAAAAGAAGCTAATGTCAAAATCCTTCAAACACCTAAGGCAATCAGTGATTTTGGCCTTTTCTGGCCTTCCTGGAGGCCCTCTTGGAGGCATCTTGGGCCGTCTTGGGCCAGCTTCGAGCCAACTTCGGCCATCTTGGTGGGCTCCTGGCCCGTCTGACTCCGTCGGTAGCCGTTTAGGGGGGCCTCTCTGGGCCGACATGGGGCCTTCTTGGGGTGGTCCAGGGCCGTCTTAGAGTCCATCTTGGGCGTCTTGGATGCCTCTTGGGCGGCCTTGGGGCCCTCTTGGGGCCGTCTTGGGGGCCTCTTGGGCCGTCATGGGGCCATCTTGGAGGCCTCTTGGGCGATCTTGAGTCGATCTTGGAGGCCTCCTGGGCCGTCTTGATCCGTCGGGAAGCCGAAAGTGGACAGATACCAACATCTTTCAAAACCTTAGGATAATCAATGATTTTGCCTTCTTTGGGCCTTCCTGTGCCACCTCTTGGAGGCCTCTTGGGCCGTATTGAGGCCTCTTGGGCACCTCTTGGGCCGTCCTGAGGTTATCTTAGGCCGTCTTGGGTGCATCTTGGGCCGCCTTGGAAGCATCTGGAGGGCCATCTTGGGTCATCTTGGAGCCATCTGGGGCAGGAAAACCCTCGGCAACCACCTCTGGAAGATCCTCGGCAATCCTTTCGGGTGGCCGGCGGGACGCGCCGAAGCCCCAGGGGGAGTTCTTCTGGAGAAAGAACCGAAACCCAAACCGAAGGGATTCAGCACGCCAGCGGCACCCTGCGATGAACCGACAGGGGGCGGCGGATGGTGCAAGTCCTGCAGGTGTCCACGAGGCGCCCACGGGCGGCCAAGGGTGGTCACCAGACGAACCGCCGGCCGACCCATCCAAGTACACACTTAGGTAAACGAGGTAGGAACCCCTAATGCGAGCACTGTTGGGTGAACATCCCGGGGCTTCCGGAGACGTCCAAAACTCTGGCCATACTTTGTAAGAGGTAGGGCTACCTGGCGGGCGAGGCACCTCGTCGTCCCAGGATTCCGGAGCGCTCCAGGCTGCCTTTGAAACACCGAAGGTTCAATTCATTACCACCCCTGGTCGCACTCATAACCTTATCAGGTATCCATAAGGAGAGAGAGCAGGAGGATGAATAGGATAAGGAGGGGGGGAATGGGGAAACAGAATGATGAGGAGGATGGGTGAGGAGGAGGAGGAGGAGGAGGAGGAGGAGGTGAGCGAGAGGGAGTGGAAGACGAGAGGGATGAGGAGGAGGAGGAGGAGGAGGACGAAGGTGGAACAGAAGTAGGAGGAGGAGGAGGTGGAGGAGGAGGAGGAGGATAGGTGGAAGGATGAGAAGGAGGAGGACCAGTGTAAACCCAAGAACGATGCACGATATTGCAAGAATCCCTCCCTCCAAGTTTCCTCTTCATATGCCCCATACAAGGCTTTATTTTTACTGAAGGAAGTGCCCCGTTTTAAGACAACCGTTTGAAGATCTGCGCCAGAGCATCAATCCTGGGACCTCAACGCCGTGAAGCACTGTTACTGTTGCGTCTTGGCGATCCTACATCGTGCCAGAACGCCACTCCTGGAATTTCAACTCCACGAATCAACTTAACTGGTGCGCAAGCCGGCAGCGTGCCAAAACACTTTTTCCGGTACGCTATCCATGAGGATATTTGAAGATGTTGTACGCCCTCAAAACGAATATGCGCGGCGCTAAGGCGAGAGCCACATTTTGAAAACAACCCGCCCTCCATCCGTGAAGCTCTGGTCAAAACGTTCACAGCGACTTCGCACGACGCGAAGGCGGGAGCCACATTTTGAACACCACGCCCTCAATCCGTGAAGCTCTTGCGTTCTGGTTAAAATTTAATGCGAGGTGCTAAGGCGAGAGCCGCATTTTGGGAACGACCCGCCCTCCACCCAACGAGCTCTCGCAGATGTTTAAGACGGGTTTGCGCGGCGCTAGGGCGAGAGCCACATTTTGAAAACGACCAACACTCCATCTTTGAAGCTCTCGCATTGAAAAATCGGATGTGCGCGGCGCTAAGGCGAGAGTCACATTTTGAAAACGGCCCGATCTCCATCCGGGATGCTCTTTCAAGTTCTGACTTTCAGGATCAACAGTGGTGAAGAAGCCTCAGACGAAACGCCCGGCCCGCCCTCTCGACTGACCTCGGGGTGCGACAGGGATGAGCGATTTTCAAGAATAAAGGGAATGGAGAAGGAGGAGGAGGAGAAGAAAGAGAAGGACGCAGAGGGATGATGATGCTGATGATGAGGAGGTGGAGGAGAAGGAGGAGGAGAAGGAGGAGAAGGAGGAGGAGGAGACAGAAGAGGACTTTGAGGCGGAGGAGGAGGAGGCGGAGAAGAACGAAGGAAAAGGAATGTGAGGGAGAAGGAGGAGGAGGAGGAGGAGGAGGAGGAGGATGAGGAGGAGGAGGAGGAGGAGTGGGACGAGGAGGACAACGAGGAGGAGGAGGAGGAGGAGGAGGAAGAGGAGTAGGAGGATGAAGAGGAGGCGGAGGAGTAGGGAAAAAAGACTGAGAGGTTGAAGGAGGCAGAGGAGGAATACGGGGAGGAGGAGGACAACGAGGAGGAGGAGGAGGAGGAGAGGGGGAGGATGGTGAGGGCAACGCGCAGATGCAGGAAGAGGAGAGCTTCGAGGGCGTCCTCAAGGAACCAGGGGGAAGTCCTCACGAAACCTTTTCGAGGAGGAGGATTAGGAGGAGAAGAAGGAGACAGGACGAGGGCATCAGCCGCCTGTGGCAATCTTATCCGCAGCTTGGAGCTCGAAGGAGGGGACAGGGAGGGCGCAGTGAGAGAAGGAGTTGGAGGAGGTAAGGAGGAGCCGGAGGAGGAGCTGGGTGACGACGACGACAACGGCCAATATCTGACGGCGGCCGAGGCCAGCAGTATCGAGGACGACGGCACCACCACGATACGACCCAGGTTGACTTCGCCGACAATGCCGACGACGACACCGATGCCGACCACGATGACGACGATGACAAGGGCGACGACCGTCAGCTCCGACACCGATGCAGATGACGACGCCGTCGACGACAACGACTGTGATGACGCCGACGACGTTGTCGTCGACGACGGCGACGCCGACGACGCCGACGACGACCCCACGGCGACGCCGCGGCCGCCGCGCGAGAGGTCGCCGCCTGGCGCCTGGAGGCCGCGAACGCCAACGGCCGCGCCAGCGCGCCCCTGGGCGGCACCGGCCCGGAGCTCGAGGGCGCCATCGTGAAGCTGTCGGGGCGCGCCCGGCCCCCCTGAAGCTCCACCTCGGGGTGGTGGCTACACATCGGAGGAGGAGGAGGAGGAGGAGGAGGAGGAGGAGGAGGAGGAGGAGGAGGAGGAGGAGGAGAGGGAGGAGGAGGAGGAGG